TAAAAAAAAAAAAAAAAAAAAAAAAAAAAAAAAAGAGAGAATTAGATTTGATGTTACAAAAAGGCAAGTGAACTTGAAATTCTAAAGCACAGACAAGAAAATTCATATTCAACAAAATTTAAGAAAAATCTTACTTGCTTCTTCTTCCTTTTCATTCTCAGTCAGGGAAATAAATCCCTTTCCTTTGTTTACAGTCATCAAAATTTGTCCTAGTTGCTCTTGTGTAAGACACACCAAACTGCTATTCACATTTTCAGCTGTGATGTGCTTATTGCAAGGCTTCTTTTTAGTTCCTAGAGATGTATTTGTGGTGTTTCTGGTCTTCTGTCTATCAGGGGCTGCAGGTAAAATTTCTTTTTGGGTAAGAAGACAGTCTTCATCTGTATACGGGTTACATAAATCCTTAGTGGGTGAAAGGGTCGTTCTACTTTTTTCACCTCTTGCCTGTGAAGTTTCCAAACCAACTGTCTTCTTTTGAAAAAAATTTTCACTCCCAATAAAAGTATTTTGTGTTGACTTGAGACTGTTTCTAGGTTGTTTTGTTCTTAAGGGACATTTTGCGATCTTGGTCTTATTGCCCATCTGTTAAAACATCGGGAGTTTATTCTTTATAACAGTCCATGGAAAAAAAATCACAATTATCTTCATTTACATAATCTGTGACAAATCAGCCTTCTAAACTTTTTTCCATTTTGCTATTTAGTTAAATAACGCCCCAAGAAATTAATGCTAAACTTTGCAGATTTTCACTTGAAAGCTTAACAACTAGGAATTATTTTACTTCTGGACAAGAATAGAGATAAACTTTTATTATATTTGTTACAGACATCTACTTTCTACTCCAGCTTTGGTCACTACATTGCACCACCGTCATTGCACACTACCTCTTTTCTTTACGTGCATCTACAGACCAGTAGATTACCAGCCTTTATTTCTTGACTATTTTTTGGTCATCCTCTAACATAATTCATGTCTGTGTGAGGGACTGAACCCAGGCATCTTGCAAATGCTAGGGAAGTGCTCTAATTCTGAGCCGTGACCCAGCCCCAGAAAGGGTCTTCTAGACTCCCCAGGCTGGCCTTGAATCTGCAATCTTCCTACCACACCCAGCGTAACGCTGATGCTTTCATAACCACAGAGATCATTCTTCCAACATGCTGCCTTTCACCTCCTCAGACTGTGCTCTTATGCCAGTGGTGGCAAACCTATGGCACACGTGCCCCAGCAAACTGCCACCACTGAAAGCTTTAAAAGCCATCACTGTCCTATGCTGTAGTTCTCCATGTTACTTTACCTCATTCCCACAGTGACATTTTGCATTGACCTTCTAAGCACTGGACAATGACCACCACCTACCTCCTATTTTTTCCAATTCACTTCCTCCCATATCCCAATTCTAAAGGTTCTTTTAACTGTGATAGGCTCTAGAATCTGCTTATCCTACTACCTCCTTCTTGCTCATTTCCCTTCTGGACAATATTAAATTCCACAGTAAACAAAATAATCTCTTTCGTTCTTTTCTCATTTGCTCTGCTCGCATCATGTACACTCAGCAAATCCCAAATCTGGCAAAATTCATCTCTTCACCCACTCTGTAACTGCACCAATGGAGGAAAAACAACACACCCATGCTAACTGGCTTCACCTTAAACTTAAAACCAGGAACAGCAAATGGGCTCTTAACATTACTTCGGAGTCATATACTTCCCAGGTCCCTTTGCTCTCATTCCTTTAGTAATAGTAATTATTCAACCTTCTTTCCCCAGAACCCTAATACTCTCTCCCATCCTTATTCTCAGAGGGAGATCTTAATATTTCACTGAAATTCTTGTAATTCCTGTATTTTTAAAAATTCAAATTTTTACCATCGAATCTACACCAGCATCTATACCCATAAAACTACTTGCCCTCTTATTACTTGTCTACAACCCCCTCTCAAAAGCTATCTCTCATGATCATTTCTTGAATCAAACTTTTCTGCTGGATACTAATATGCTATTAAACAATTCTGAATCTCATTTTTTCATCTCTTGTAAATCCATTTCAACGAGGCTTTCACTCACACTACCCCCCATTGCTCATAACTAATAAAACTGCTAATAACTTTTACATTGTAAATTTCTACTGACCAATTCTCAAATCTTCATCTTACTTGACCTATGAGCTGGTTCAACACAACTGACTTCTCTGCTTCACTTCCAGAAACCTTAAGTCTTCCTCTCAGTGTCTGCTGACTTCTTTTCCCAAACCTCTTAAAGTTGGGGGGCTCGGGCACAGGTTAGTACTGTCCCCTCATTTAACTGGTAATTTCATTTACTCTAAATACTTCCATTGGCTCTAAATACTTACCCATGTCGAGGACTACCTAGTTTGTGTCTTTTAGCATTCCTCTCCCCTAACTCTGGGTTCCACATGACCACCCAACACTTCCACTAGGTTCTTGAGTCATTTCAAACTTAGCAGGTCCAAAGTCCAACTCATGTCCTTTTACCCCTATAACTTTCTCCCCTTCTCAGCTTCTTTGCCATCTCAGTCGCTCACACCACACCCAAAATGTTGCAGCTATTTTTGACTTTTCTCTCATACGCCACATTTGTTGTCATTAAACACTATTTTGCTGCATCTTCAAAACATATCCCTTTTTACTCCCTTGCTTGCACCTGAATCATCAAAGCTCTCTACCTGGAATCCCAGCTTCTACCCTTGCTCCTCAGTCCATTTCCAACACAGAGATGCAGTAATTACCTTAGCATTTAAGTCAGATCATGTTATTTTCTTCAAAAGCTTTCTGTGACTTTTTATCTTGGTTGGAGGCAAAGCTGGACTTCCTGGGATCCAAAAAGCTCTCACCTCTGAGCATTTCCTCTTCCCCTCACCTTTTTCACAAGCAAAAGCTTTAATTGGAAAGCAAGAAAATGCTAAGAGGAGCAAGGATCAGGCCCGCTCTTAACAAAGGAGAGTGAGAAAAAAATAGGAGAGGACTCCAGTTTTAGCAGCTGGAAGAGGGAGTCATCAGATCAGCCCGGCCAGGAAAAGCAGGAGGCTGCTGTCAAAGACAGTGCACCTGGGCCCCTGGATCGGATCTCAACCTGGTTCTCAGACCCAGAACCCTCAGGGCTTGAGGGGCGGTTCCTTCCCAGGATCACCCTGGGGTGGTTTTACTCCTGGGGGCAGTAAAATGATCATGTTCTTTCTTCTTGAAGGAGGACACTTCAGGGTCCAGCTAAATGTTCCTTATGCCGGCCTCATCCCTCTCTGCCCAATTACCTTGGTGGAACAGCTCCAAATGATACAAAGCGTATGATCGATGGACCTCCAAGTAATATTAAGAAAATATTTTCACTCCCAACCTGCTCCATGTTGGGACATGCTGAGTTTACGTTCTCTAAAATCAAAGAATGAATTCTAGGAACAGAGGTCAAGAGTAGGAAGAATTTGAGAAAGATAACTTGTCTGAGACAGAATGGGGATCAGAAAGTGGGTTACCCCCTTGCCTCTTTTGCCCTCCATCTCTCTCATCTGCCCTAATTTTCTCTTAGTCTTCAACCACCTATGCTTGACTATTCCTTGAACTCAACAAAGCCTTAGCACTAGTCCATCCCTCTGCTTGCAAATTCTTCCTTCAGATTCTACATGTTCATTTTCTCAGCTCCTTCCAATCTGTGTTCAAACGTTACCTGCTTAGAGAGGTTTTCCCTAGCCACCCTGTTCTACTCACACCTGTTTCTCTAGCGTTCCTAGACAAGGCTAAACCAGTAAAGAGGTCGTGTTCTTCCTTCTCATTTTGTTTCATAGCACTTTTTCTCCCTTTCTTTTAGTACTGGCGATTAAACCCACAGCTTTGACACCAAGCGACCTCTCCAGCAGTTTTTTATTTTTTATACTGAGACAGGGTCTTACTAAATCACTAAATTGTTTGAGCTCAAATTTACAATCCTCCTGACTCAAACTTTCACAGTGCTGGGATGACAGGCGTGGACTATCAAGGGCCAGCTTCTCGCAGCACTTTTTGTCCTATGTCATCTGTTTGGTTAAGTCTACTCATCCTACACTTTCCTAATGTAAACTCCATAGGCAGAGATTTTTGTCTTTTTTCTTCACTCCTCTCTCCCCAGTGTCTAGGACAGGTGAATGAAATAGAAATCAAGTAGGTATTCAATAAATTTTGGCTCAGTAAGTGTAACTATTCTACTTAGGCCACTGAATTCTTTACTTCTTGCTCTCAAAATTAGCTCCCTTTACCAAAATATTGTATTTCTGTGGCACTGTTGTTCTAATCTCAGGCCAGTAACCATGAAGTCCCTTTTGAACCTCTTCCTTCAAGTCTTCCTTGGCTTATCGGCAAATACTGTTTTTTCCTTCCAAATTTAAGTTTTCATTACCACAGCCTGATTATTTAGCCTGCTTATCTACACTCCATAATCCACTGTATATTCATTTCTATAACCTAAAATAATTCAATAATCATTTAATAAATGTTAAGTGCTACTTTTTATGTGCTCACCACTATGGGGAAAGTGTTGGTGACATAAAAATTAATAAGTAGATATTTTTGATGTCAAAGAGTGGGTTAGAAGCCATAAAATCTTTCATCTGGCTTATCCAAATTCTTCTTTCAAGAAACTCCATAATGTATAAATAACCAGTTATTAGCCAATTACACAATCAGCCAATTACATCTCACCCTGCATTTTAAAATTTACATCAACCATAAAATTTAGTATCAACCACAAGATCCTTTTATTATCTTTTTTACCTCACCCTGTTTTTACCTGGCTTTTAGTTTCTGATAATACCAATACTTGATTCTAAAATATGTTTCCACCTTATCCCTGCATTTTAATATAATATTTTAATATTATATTCAATATAATATTTTAATATAACTCTCTAAGTGAAGAGTGGCAAACTCAAGTGTATCTACCATAAATTAGACAAGATGGGAACTAGGATGAACACAAGTGCATTCTTCCCATCTAAAGAGACAGCCAATACTCAACTACTCTACACTGCCAAACAGGATCTGAACCACTGCTAAATTATCCAATATTTCAGGAGACTCAAAACTGCCAATTTTAACAATGAATTTTCTAATTTTTAGACACTGGCAAGTCATTCTTAATGGAACAAGCAAAGTATTAATGGAATGAATTTAAGCAGATGAATATTACCACCTCAGCATGTTTCCAACTACTACAGCTTTTACTGATCTTACCCTTATTTTGACTCAGATGGACCTTACCTTTGATGGGTAACAGTTGAGCACTGCAGTTTTTTTATTAACAGTCTATCTCAAACTACCAAGTAAAATGCACTGCTTCAACATATTTTGCAACCCTCTCATTTCTGTCTTTCATCATTCTAGTATAAATTATGTTCAGATTACTACATAAGAAAAGCAACCAAGCTCAAATTATTTCCCAAATGTTCCTGGATGAGATCAGTTTTAACTGATCAAATGAGGACTTTGTTATTAAACATTTTTATACAGCATGTTACTCGTTTACTTAGTTTTAATTCTATCAATATTTTTCATAATATTATAAAGACAACATTGAACACATTTAATATTGGCACTTCACAATTTACAGGTGGCCAAAATCTGTCAAAAGGAATCAAAGAAAAGCAATGTTTCTAAATATAAAATTACATAATATTATACACATCCTTTAATATGTCACTGATTCTCACATGTACTAATACACATGAAAAAATTTTTTTCTCTTTTGAAATGAGGTCTGGCCATGATATCCGGGTTAGTCTTGAATTGAACTCCTGGGCTTAATCCTGTTTCAGCTTCCTAAGTAGCTGGACTACAGGTGAGTACCATCACAACTGGTCAAAAGCTTTTCTAAAGTTTTATATGTCAACTTATTTTAGAGACTATCTTAAGTAAAAAAGCTTTAGAGTGTATTATTTTTATAAACTAGTTTTGACACAAAATGATTTGTATTTCCTTCATTTCTCTTCCAATAAACAAATTAGGATATTAACCATCTTTACCTCATATTCATTATGAAGATTAAAAAAGAATGTGGGAGAGCTTGTGCTAAAATTAGGAAAGTGTTTTAAAAACACAATGTGGAGATGACAGTAATTCAACCTGTGAGAAACGGGGAAAACAAAATTGTAGATATTGTAGTCACTCGGTGTCTATCCCAGTATCAGGAAAGAAAAGCACTCTATTGAGAAAATTCACGAATAACTTACAGAAAAGAAAATTCAACATACAGCTCTGGCATTGTGACACTCAAGACATTTAAAAGGTAGAACAAAAGACACCAATATTACTGATTCTGATGTTTGTGAAGAGCTAAACACAAGAAGGAAAAGGATCGCTGCAACTTCTGTGAATATGGGAAAGAGAGGCTCCTGGAAAGTAAAGATTGTGTCAGAATTTTTTAAGTTCTAAATGCAACAGGGTGAACCCAGTTTGCTTTTACACGGATATAACACATTATACTAGAAAGAAGAAAAAAAACCTATGATTAGGTACCTAGTAGCCACAATTCTGTAATGATTCTACCAAAATCCAAAACTTGTAACTTTATCGTAGGACTGAAAGAGGATTTCCAGATGTTCTGAGTTGGTTATAGAGACAATAAAATGCCTTCACAGCTGTGGCCATATAGCCAATCTGTTAAGGACATAAGTAGGAAGGAGAAAAATGTGGAAAGAGAATAGGGAGCTGGGGAAGAAAGAAATCATTACAAGTAGCTCTTCAACTAGACGTATGAAAAAGGGCACCGTAGGCTGGGGAGTGCAAGGTCCCGAGTTCAACCCCTTGCACTGGAGGAAAAGAAAAAAAGACACTGCATTTGTAATGTGTCTCAAATACAAGTGGTTAGTTGGAATATTTTAATAGACAAAGAAGAGGAAATCATATGCCATCTTAAGTCCTCACGGGGACTATGGTTCCCATGCTCTGCACAGTTCCCCTATTTCCTTCGTAGGGGAAATATTCCAAGACCCCCATGGACATACGAAACCTGGTTTGGTGGGACCAAACCCTGCTAACAAGCACTGTGATAACAGTTGATCAAATAACTGAGATGGCTACTGAACAGGTATGGACACACAAATGATTCACATCCTTGGCAACACAGAGGGATGGTTCAGCACATTACTCCAAATGATGCACATTTAAAATTGATTATTTCTGTAATTTTCCACTTAGTATTTTTAGACACTACTGACCTGAGCTGAAAACACAGAAAGCAAAGCCACAGAAAACAGAGACCAATGTACAGATATATAGAAATAATGAAAAGTAGCTTGTTGAATTTCTTTGATATCACCTATATTTATTAAGTGATTAATCTAAGTACTGTATCAACTTTCACTTTCAGTAAACCTTGAAGAAATAACAAAGCCATCAAGGGCTCAGATTTGAAGGGAAAAATGCTACATAATCAAAATAAATTATATCCACAGATAAGCAAAGACTTTACGATACTGCAAAGATAAAGGACAAAGAAGCTACCATAAATTATGGAAGAGAGGAGAAATTCCTGCCAATATGTATCTAAAAATAGAAAAAGAAAATAAGGAACAAGAAATGTAGCAATCACACACAAAAAAAGGTAGAAGTGGTAATATATTTTGTACAAAGAGGCAAAATGGACTCCTTAAAAAAGGAAACTTACTACTAAGTTTAAATGTAATCTTTTTAGCTACATGCGTGTAAGAATCTGTCAGTCAAATTTCCTTTCTGGTGCTGGCAAATGGAACTTCTGTATGAAAAGATATTTTTGTTTTAAAGTCTGATTATTTTTAAAGATCTCTAGAACTGCACTGTTTATATAGTAGCAATTAAATTTAATTAAAAATCAGGTGAAATTAGAAATTCAGTTCCTCTGTTACAGTACTCACATTTTAAGTCTTGTTGGACAACAATGATTTTACATTTTCATCTTTACAGAAAAGCTTTACTAGATAGCAGTGATCTACAGAGGAGATTCTATCAGACTTTTAGGTGGGAAAAAAATACAATTCCATTTCTGCAAAAGGACTAGTGTAAGAACAAATAACTTTTCACCATCATTCCACACCCCCAAAAAACTAACATTTTCCAGGAATTATCTTTAAACCACTGGGAAAAAAAAACCCATTTTACATTTGAAAACACATCAGGTCATTTGACTTACCTTCACAGAAATTTTTGACTTATGTTCTACAAAAGAAAAAATAAATTACTAATCTGTAAACCAAAAGAAATCACAAAATAAAATTTTAATGAGTGCATTAACTTTCAATCGTGCCTCAGTGTTCCAACTTTTACAATATGGTTCAACTACTGTATTTACTTCTACTGCATATTAGTTTATATCATTATCTTCCCATGGTAAAAAATGATAAAGAGGGAGGGGAACCTTGAAGGAGATGACCAAGAATAGTGAATTTTAAAATTAATACTAAACATGACTTTAGTAATTGTAGTCTCACTATGACTCATTCAAATAATAACTTCTTTATATGCAAAGAATATTAATTACCTAAATTTCACCTATGTCATGCATTAGGCAACAACATACAAATACAAAAACCAAATAAAATTATACACGAAATACAATGCAACACTAAACTTTATAAATCTGAATAATTATAGTAAAAAGCACTGATATAATCTGACTTTATGTGGCTAAAAGTAAATTTAAATTAGTTTGGGAAAACTTTTTTCAAAGTGTCATCTGAAACTGTAAACTTTATGCAGGAATTTAAATTAACATTTTGGAGTTCCAATAATACAGCATACCATATGGAGATAGTATTAGCTTGGTTTTTCCATCCAATAATTCAGTTTCAAGCTTTAAACCATCTCTGCAATATAAAAGAAAATTGTCATTGTTAAGAAACAGTATCAGTGGCCTGCTTTGCAAGCGCAAGGACCCGAGTT